CTGGGGATTTGGAGTTGCATTTGCAGACTATTGAACGCGGAGGTGCATTTTGTATGGGATATGTTGCGCTTCGAGATAGAAGGACAAGCTTCTTCCTACGCTTCCCACCTCTTCGTGTTATCTCCACTATTCACCTGCAAGTAGTTTCCAGCAATCGGGGCTTTCAGTCCAGCATCCACAATGAACTTTGGCCAGTCAATGCCGAACCTGCTGCTGACAGCCTGTTGATGCGCAGCCGGAACCGCGAAGTTTGCCGGCTGCTCATGCAGCAAGAACACGTAACGATGAGTGGGAGGCGCACCAGCGGGTGGCGCAGGACCAAAGTACGACGAAGGCGTTGTGGCTGTCGTAGTGAGGACCGATGTGCCGTTCTGCTTGGTGCCGGAGGGCGTGTAATCCTGCAGAAGGGCATGCAGGACGGTTGACGCACGGCCGTTTTGGGTGACATCGATGTCTGAGCAGTGTCAGTGTGATGCGTTTTTGATAATGAGAAGGGGAAATACCGATCATTGCAAGCAGGTACTTTCCGCTGAGCGTTGTGTTGGTGAGACCAATGACAGGGGCCTTTGCCGTTGCTGTTTTACATCAGTATGGCACATCCTTCTTTGCACCTCGGGTTCGTACTTGATTTTTTAACGATGAGACCGGGATTGATGTACTGTGTCCCGTAGTAGACATCCAGCGTTGCATTGGTGGCAGGAGTGAAGCCCGAGGGCGTGGTCTGCGCGATGGCCGATGCAGCGAGAACCAACGAAGATGCAATTGTCGTGAACTTCATTTCGACACGTTTTGAGTAGGAGTGATAGATATCAGCGTCTCAGAAGATGGTGATTTTCTGAGAGCAGTCGACGAACAACATCATAAAGGCCCCACTGCGACATGGTGTGGTCTGGCCCCTCCACTACTGCCATGCTATCGACATGCGGGTGCTCTGCAACATGTTGAGTACAGGCCAAGAGAAATTTAGAAAGGCAGGATGTTTATAGATGAGGCTTGAATCTAAGCGAATCTGATATGTTGCAGGCTGAAGGGGCCTTCATTCCGACCCCTGTCGCCCCCGCAAACTATACATACGTGTTATCGGCACTTGACTTGAGTGTCTTTCTATCCGTCGCAAGCAATTTTCCAGTGCTGAATCTCGGAATGAAGTCCTTCCTCGCTCTTGCTATAGGCTTGTCTGACATGGCTTTGGCATGGTCACATGATAGACGAGCCCAACTTGATGTCCCAGCTCCGGGTACCCAATTATATCAGCTGCGGTCCTCATCGTACGTCTAGTCATTTGGAATCTTCTATATTGGATCGCTGACTATCGCACACAGCGACGATCCGTCCCTGGACAGCCAATGGGTGTCTCTGCCAGTCAGTTCTTTGGACAAACGCACCTACGTGCTCAGCGACAGCCAGGATGCCGCTAGCAAGTTCTATCTCGTGAAGTACAATGCAACGAACACGTGGGAGCTTCATGCGGCCGAGGATGGGGATCGACAGGTGGTGTTGCATAGTCGAAGTCAGTCTAGCGAACTCCTATACATGAGCGATGTACTGCGTCCGGGTTCGACCGACGTGCTTGAGGGAGAATTGGCAGAGTGGGGGGTCTTCATCTTGGATAACAACGTCCTTGATGTTAGAGATGGAAGTGCGCTAACGGAAAGGTCTTTCGTAGCTGTGCACCCGGAAGCTGAAGGTGGTGTGTATGAGATTGCGTTGTATGATGGTAAGTGCTTTCCTTCCAGCGGCCGGGCTTTGATGATGACACGGTTCAGGACAAGGCACTGCTTCCTTGAGGACGCTGACCGGTATCAAACTGAACTTTGTGAGGCTTCCAAGGATTTGAAATGGTACACAGTGAACTCAAGTAAGGTGACATGGTCCAAGGCAGCAAGTGGTTCTGGCTGCTGGTGTTGTTTGTCTGTGCGGCTATCGATAGCGACTTCCCAAAAATCCAACTCCAATCTTGGCATCCCACCAACGCCGCTCCCATTGTCGACAATCCACCAGCCCCGCCCCTGCGCCCGCCGCCTACACACTGCCCCGATACCAGTCTCTGCTATTCTCACCATGCCGGGCGCCAAGACCACGCTGCTCATCGAGGGCACCTTCGAGGAGCTTACCGACGAGTTCGCACAATACATCGACAGCCTCAAAAAATCCCAGGGCGATGAGAGCGCCAACCTCCAGGGCGAGAGCGCGGACCTGCTCAAGGAGAACAAGAAGGACGATGTGCTCAAGAAGCTCGTCGTCGGCAGCCAGGCGCTGAACCAGGCGCCCGAGAAGGGTACGGCTCCAGCAATGACTCGAGGGGTCCTTCTGATGGAGAAAACACCGGGCTAACAATGAGTGCGCAGAGTTTATTGCGGCCTACAACCTGCTCATCCACCTCGTAAACCAGTCGCCAAATGTCTCCATCTTCATCCCCAAGATGTGCCAGAACCTGAGCACGCCCATCTCCTCGTCGCCTCTGAACGGTGGTGGTCTTGCGCTCTCCATCCTCAGCACCATCTTCAACACCACCCAGCCAGACAGCGAGACGCGCTACCACGTGCTCCTTGCCATTCTCCGTGTCATTCGCGCCACATCAAACTTCGAGACACTGCGACCACAACTCAAGCAGCTCGACAGCTGGATAGCCGCATGGAAGACCGGGGAGGAGGATTCGCGCAAGCTCTACCTTGCTGTGAGCGACGTCGCATCGGACGCAGGCGAGGAGGAGCAGGCATACACATATCTGCTACGCGCACTCAGGACATTCCCTTCAGAGCAGGCTTCGTCCCCAGAGGCTCGCGAGCTCTCTCTTCGCGCCCTCAAGTCGGCCCTCACACACCCGACCCACTTCGATTTCCAAGATCTCACCGATCTCGACTCGATCCAGGCCCTCCGTAACTCCGACCCCATATACTTCCAGCTCCTTGAAATCTTCAACTCCGATCTCCTAGATGACTACAACGACTTCAAGGACGAGCACGATGGCTGGGTTGAGGAGTCCGGCCTTGACGCCGGTGCCTTGAACCGCAAGATGCGCCTCCTCACTCTTGCGTCCATGGCTGCTTCAGCGGGCCAAGCTAGGTCGCTACCTTACGAGAGGATCGCAAAGGCACTACAAGTACCATCCGAGGACGTCGAGATGTGGGTCATTGACGTGATCCGCGCTGGTCTCGTTGAGGGCAAGCTCAGCCAGCTCAACCAGACCTTCCTGATCCACCGCTCAACATACCGCGTCTTTGGCGACAACCAGTGGAGAGAGGTAGCTTCAAGGTTAGATTTGTGGCGAAACAGTCTGCAAGGTGTTCTGCAGGTCATCCAGCAGGAGAAGCAGAGGTTCGCGCAGGAGAAGGAGGAGGAAGCAAACAAGGCCGACCAGAAGGCCGATATGGCGTCGCGGTTCGGCGGAAGGGGCGGACAGAGGAAGCAGCAGAGGGCCATTGATGACGATATGGACTAAGTGGTTACGTCGTCTTGGTGCGCGTTTCTTTCTTTCAAAAGGGGTCGGCTTGGGACGGATGCATTATGAGGCTTTTCAGGTTCATGAACAGCAGCCCTCGAGCTGCATGATAGACAATGCAATTCAGATATATTGATTCTTGGGCGTCTCCCTATAGACTATGAAGCCTGTGTCTGCACAAAGGTGATGTTGATGGGCTTCACGCCACGCTCCTTGAGCTTCTCCACAACGTCCCGGTAAACCTGGTCAGGCTCCTGCTCTGCGTTGATCTTGACAACCCTATCCTGCGACTCGAATTCATTGACCACGGGCATGCTTGTCTCCACGAATGTCCTGAAGCGCTTCTTGATACTCTCGAGGTTGTCGTCAGCGCGTCCTGATGTCTCGCCGCGGACGAGGAGTCGCTTCTCCATGACAGCTTCGGAGCACTCGAAGAAGATGGTGAACTTGGAAGGGCAGACGGAGCGCTCGAAAGCGTGGGCCTGGTCGAGTTTGCGCGGGAAGCCTATCATGTTAGACCATGGACTGGAAAGTAGCTGCATGGGTTATCATACCATCAATCAGGAACAGTTTTCCGTGGTTCTCTCCGCTCTCCATGCTGGCCTCCATTGCGTTCTCCAACAGCTGAACGGTAACCTCCATGGGCACAATAGTGCCTTCCTTGATGTACGTCTTGATCATCTCGCCGAACTCGCTGCCCTCGCGGTTCTGCTCTTCGCGCAGCAGATCACCAGCAGAGAGATGCTTGAAGCCATAGTCACTGACGAGCTTCGTACATTGCGTACCCTTTCCGGCACCGGGGCCACCAAGGACGAAAAGGACGGTCACTTCGTCGCTGGACCAGCGGGGAGACTCGCGCGAGCCCGCGGCAGTCTTTTCAATGGCAGGCATCTTTCTAGTGGGGATGTGAAGGCTTCACTTGTCCTTTGCCGCTGGGGGAATGGCCTTGAATAGGTCCTTTGGGTTGGTATCCCTCGCCTTTTCGCTGATCAATTATCGCGTTGAACAGGTATGTGCCTAGTCCCAATATCGCGAGGATGGGCCAGACTTTGAGTGGGGATTTCGAGGGAGGCGTTCGGATGTGTGTCGGAGGCTGCAGAGGGTGAGATAAGAGGTCAGTGTATGCGTCGCATATATTTTGTATCATCTCTACTCACTTCGTTCGGGCCGGTTGGTTCGCCGGGTTGACGGAGGCGAGATGCGTTTATCCTGGAGGAGGAGAAGGCGCGAGCTGCAAGAAATTGAGGCTGGCGAAGGAGGATACGTTGGCGCGAGATTAGCGAAGACATGATGGTTAACATGGCGGTATGCAGCAGGGGCGACTGTCGTGGCTGCCCGCAGTTGCTCTGATCACTAGCCCAAACGCGACTAGCGTCTACGTACGATATCAGGGCCCAGGCACCCAGGCTCCACCTCCAATGTTCCATGGTTCCAATACAGACACAGACCACCACCAGCTCGGTGGCATCTTGATATTTGCTAACAAACATTTCCGGCTAATTCACTAGCACAGCAACACATTGTCTTACAAGCTTCCAAGCTTGTCAGCCCGGCGGTCATGACTGGTACCAGTCTCTTCTCCCGCGCTCACAAGCCGAGAGGGTCTCCGCCCAAGAAGATGCGCGGCTTCCTCGCCTTACCCGGTGAGATCAGAAACCAAATATACGGCTACTACTTCGGCTCGGAGCGTCGCTGTGAGATTGCTAGCAAAGGATCCAAATTCACGCAGCGGAAGCCACAGACTGTCAAGTTGTCATCAAATGTTATCGCTACAAAGAGCACGACTCCTGCGCCTGATCCTGAGATAAACGCGACTCCTCCTGTCGTGATTCGCTTCTCGAGATCACTTGGCAAATACAACGCTGTTCAGGGCCTGCGAACGAACTGGCCGGGCTCGCTATGTGCGCTAAGTCTTGTTTGCAAGCAAGTCTATGCAGAGACAGCGAAGTTGCTCTACCAAAACACGATTTTCGTCTTCGACGCGCCAAAGCGGATGACAAACTTCTTCAAATATGCCTCGTCCATCCACTTGGGAAACATCACCAGGTTGCATCTTCACTACAGTACTTATGGAAATCCAAACAAGACCGTGGACGTGGTTTGGCAAGAGAAGCATCATCAAAGTTGGTAAGTATGGTTGCGATAGTGACGGACTTGGACGTTGTCCGGTATGCTACACGCAGAAGTAACTAACGCCATGTTCACTTTCAGGCAGCGAGCTTGCGAGGCCGCCTCGAAACAGCTTACTGGCTTACGCGAACTTGAGGTCTGTGTAGAGCTTCACCATGGCCCTCGAAAGATGAGCCTGCGCGAGAAATGGATGACACCTCTGCTTCAGTTTCGTCGGCTAGCGTCCCCAAAGAAAGCCGCGCGCGGGACCGTGGAGCCACCACCGCTTGATCAGCGACAGCCAGGTCTTCTGATCGTCAAGGTCAAGTTTCAGCATCTTTACGCCAATTATGCGTCGTTTGCTGGTCTCCGCGGACTGGACCAGGCAAAAAGGGAGTTGTACCTACTCTTCGGGCAGGCTATCAGTCTGGTGATCACAGGGGCGACAGAAGAAGCGGCCCTGTCTGGGTTCAGAGAAGCGTATGAGGGGAGGCATGCACAGTATCAACCCTATCTCCCATCCTCTTGGGCGGGCCCATAAGATTCCCGAAAATATGGCCGTACCGGATGTTGAGAAGGTCGGTCAAAGAAAAGCTTGGGGGATTGAACAGATATTCCGAGGGACCTGATGTGGGCACTCTATGTGCCACTTGGTATTGCATTAGAGCATCAAGCTCATGCATTTGAAGGCATCAAATATGCTCAGACCATATTACTGGATATAGATTGATGGTCTTCATTGACAATCACTAAATTCTATGGTCTATGCAATGTCTATCCTCTAAGTGATCGCAAATTTCCACTGCCATATAGTCCAGCAAAACACGACTCTCAGATCTAACTACAAATCACCCAGCTCAAGCACTCGGGTTCTGCTTAGTAGCCTCATCATCGACTTGCGCCTTATTCGTAGCAATCTCCTCTTCAACCTCAGGCGGGAAGTCACCAGGTACGATACCAAAGACACCAACGTCACTACGACCCATACCGCCACCCTTCTTCTCCGTCTCCTCGCTCTCCTTCAACACAAAGAACCCAGCGTTCTTCTTCATCTCCTCCTCATCAAAGTCAAACACACGCCAGTCGGCATTGAAGAACATGCGGTTGCACACACCTGTGCGCAGGAAACCCGAATGCGAGACAACAGCAATGACTTTCTCGGGGCGGGAGTAGAGGTCCTTGAGACATCTCTGTCCACGTGCGAGGATAGCCTTTTCGGTGAAAGCATATGGGTTCTTGGATCCACCGGTGGTCTTGTCTGGGAACGAAGGGTCCACGACGGAGAAGTCGTACTGAGGGAATTCCTTGGAGATCTCATCGATGGGTGTTCCAGTGTCACACGGCTTGTCTGCGTTTTCTTGCCAGTTCGCGTCAGGGATTACTACAGTGCACATCTGTATCAGTCACACATACACAATATGTCTTGCTCGGTGACATTGATCTTACCCTTGGTGCCTTTCTTGATAAGCCAGTCCAGCCCGATAGTGGCAGTCTGGAGCGTCCGCCTTTGAGCGCTGACAACGATGAGTTCAACTTCATTGCCGATCTTGCTCTCTTTCAGACTCTCATGTAGCTCGCGACATTGCTGCTCGCCCAGCTCAGTAAGTGGAGGGTCCCTGATAGACCAGTCGCTGGTGGCATTATGTTGTGCCTGAGCGTGGCGGATGAGTATGAGTGTTGGCGGCATGATGATATGTTACAATTGGATAAGAGTGTTGTATTTGGATGGTGGGATAGACGCGTGACGTAAGATACTTATGGATGGAATTGTTGAATGGTTTTCAAAATCGGATTGCAGGGTGACGCGCTAGTGGGGCGGATGTACCTGCATGGCGAATCTGGAATCGTCGATGACGCAGTCAACTGTCAATCCAGAATTGGCAGGAGCGACGAAGCAAGCTTGAGAAGCGGGCCGAACAAGAAGATGATAGTGCTAGTGCTTGACTTTCGTAAATGTTGTTCATTGATCGTGAAAGGCAGTGAGAGCCGCTCGTTATGCATGTAGACCGTCTACGCGGTGTTATGCAGTCGTCGTCTACTCTTCCATTTTCTCCTCCTCCTCGTCATCATCGTCGTCTCCCTCCAGTGCCTTCTTTGCCAGCTTCTCAGCTTCTTCCCGGATGTCCTTGGGCACTTCCTCGTGCCTGCCTTTGGTAGGACCGTCGAGACTGCTGATCCATGTCATCTCAAGCTCAAACTCCTTGTCCTTGTTGTCATCGTGTGCGACGTAGATGATGCGTGCTGCCTCCTTGACACCCTCCTCTAGTGATAGATTTCCCTCGGAGAGGTTGAGTTTCTCGAGCTCTGACTTGGCGACCTGGCGGCCCTTGCCTGTAGCGGCACCGTAGTAGCCCTGCACACGTTAGCTGTTGGACATGTTTAGGTCACCAAGGTCTCCATACCCAATATAGACCGCTGGGCTCGATCATGTAAAGCGATGGGCCACCATGCTTTGCGCCTTCTTTCTTGCCTCCCGAGCCAACAGTAGGCCCTGAACCGACTTGGCCATCTACTGGTAGCTCGGCCTCGGAGTCCCAGCCTGCAAGGATGGCGGTTATACCGAAAGGACGGACACTCGAGTAGAGGGTATATGCTTGGGCATAGCTTCCCATGCGGTCGGCGAGAGACGAGGAGGGGATGGGTGCCTTGTAAAGCTGCCGCCATTGGGCTGCCTCGTCGCGGGCGCGGGAGACGAAGTGGCGACCATCAGGGAGGAGACCGGAAGATACAATGCCCATGTTGCGGTCTACGGTTGCTATCCGCTTGTTCGCGCCGGGCTTGAGCAACTTGCTGCTGACGAGCTTCTCCAGAGCGAGTACGACGCCATCCTTGCACTTGATGCCGACCGCTGTGCCACCGTTCTCTACTGCCTTGACCGCGTATTCGACCTGGAAGTTTCGACCGTCGGGCGAGAAGACCGAGTTGGACAGGTCGTAACCTGTACCTATTGACGTCTACGCCATGGTTAGATCGACTGGGGTGCTTCAGCTGTTACGGTGGGGTGTTTACCATGGTGGGCGGTGTGGAGACTGAGAAGGGCGCTTTGTGTGTTCCGGGCGATCAAATGGACCGCAGATTCTAGGGAAGCGATTACGGGATTGTCAAAGGTTGGCAGTCGTGTGTCTCGGTGTTGATGATTCTAGGCAATGGTGTATCTGCGCAAGCTCCAGGTAGCTTACTAGCGCGCGTGCGTGCCAAGGCCGACCCCTAGAGGCATCAACCTGCGTACGTGAACAGCAACTCGCGAGCATTGCAACTCTCGGTCGTCCTTGCTTCGTCCAGGACTGTTGGTGCGATCCGCCTCCTCGTTGCTGGCGCTCTACTGGTGTGTTCGCTGCCTGCTGTCCCGGCTTCTTCCGTCTGGGCCTCCAATTGCCCGCACCTCACATCCAAAAGTGCATACGCCCATACACATTTGATGAGTTGTCGTCCCAAATCGACCACTATTTGCAAGCTCTCAAGACACATCATTGGCTGCCAGCAGACTAGCCGGACAGGTTGGGTTTCAGCTTCGTCACTAATTGGATGTGGGCGACAAAATTATCAGAATCATCCCGCCTACACGCATGACCCCGACAGCACGCTATACTCAACGGTACATAAAGAACCACCATCACGCTGCTGCTAATTTTCTTCTTGCCCCCTCTTCACTGCTGACTTGGTCCAAGTATATTTGAACACCTTTCTGTTTGTTCTTGACTCACAAAGGCACCCTTTGTCATCCCCCGCCGATTGTCGTCAGCGCCCAACGCAAGCGCGGACAAGTACGATTCCAAGTTTCCATATACTAGCCAACGGCGAATTCTGAGCTCGAGTCTACAAGGTCTTTCAACGATATAGTCCATCACTGTATGCGCCTTTGTCGACTCCCCGCCTAATACAATACTTGAACCTCCGTTTTCCAGAACTTGCCCCTCATCCGCTTGCTGTTGAGACCCTAGAGGACATGCAGCCCATGCTCCTGCACCACTGCGACTGCACTCACGACACGCCCATCTCATTCAGTCCTTACGCCTTTTCTCAGAACATTTCTTGCGCAAACGTAAGCTCGTTCGTCTTCGGCGCTGGTAAACACTAACGTTACGTCATAGTGCGGCACAATATCTACGGGCATCAACGTTCAGGGGAAAGCAGCAGAAGACGCAAACATGCAACAAGATGAACTTACTCGGCTGTTCTCAGCCAACATGAACTTGTCTCAAGGCAACCCACAGCCCGTGCAACCACAGATGCAACAGGAGCAACCAGTGCAACAACAGCAACAGCAAGAAGAAGCTCCCAAGCAGATCGTCTACGCTTCTCAGCACTACACTCATTCATATCATGTACCTACCCGCAGTACATCCGAGCCAGCCCTGAAGACACACATCGAATCTTCGGACCTCGCTGCCGTACTTTTGAGGAACAGTATTGATCCTTCTCTTCTGTTCCCTTCCCAGATCGATCTTTTCCAGAATGCAGACGACGATCAGCGGCTACGTCTCCTCGAGCTCTGGCGCATATCACCTCCATCAGGTCGTCAAGGACACCCAGCGGGCGTAGACTACAACATGTCCCGACAGCTTTACGACTGGCCACCCACCAGTCTCGCACAGGAGGAAGCCATGGCTAAGCTGAGATACGAGAGACAACAAGAGGAGTCCGCCCAGCAAGAGGCTATCCAGCAGCACCAGCAGCAGTTGGATCAGAGCATGGCAGCAGCAAGCGCTGAACCATACATGGCATCAGGCTACGAGATGATGGCCAGGCGCGAATATGAAGAGTCATGCAGAGGCGAGAATACGTTGAAGGAGTCGACCAAGTACAACCAGGCCACCGATCCAGTCTACAACAACACTGGCAGCAACGGCCTTTGGCAGAAGAATGTGGGCAGCGTAGCTGACATGGAGAACACTTACGGAGCATACGCATATGCACGAGAGTATGGGCTGCAGGGTGGTTATGGCGACGAGGAGATGGTCATGTGAAGCGTCCTCTCGTTATGCCGGGCCTCGAGGATAGCTCAGGATGGATTGTTAAGCG